GCTGGGAAGGGCAGCTGTTGGGGAACGGACTCCTCACCTTCCAGCCGCCCGGTGACCTCCTGCCACTCGTCCTCCAGCTCTCCCAGCAGCTTCTGCCTCCACTGGTGCTCCCTGGACGCCTCGTCTTCCTCCTCCTCTTCGGCAGAATCCCAGGGGGGTCCCCAGCCCAGAATTTGCCCAGGGGTCTCCCCTTCCTTGTTCTTTACTCCCATGGCAGAGGGACAGCGGCGCAGCAGCGGCAGGAAGAAGTCCGTGTAGGCTGTTGGTGGGAGGGCAGGGGGTTAGCTGGGCCTCCTTGGCAGGGCGCATCTGGGGTGCTGCCGGCCACGCACACCCTCGTCTGCCCACCCAGACCTGACACACACTTACTGACAGTTTATCGCAGTTTAAAATATTCTGACCCGTGTCCCCATGAACTACTTTATGTTTTCCAGTCTGCCTCCAGCCACCCGGGCACCGTCAGAAACCTGACTATGGATTCCAGTTTTGGCTGGAAAGTATTGTCACGGTAGCCAGCCGGCGTGGCTCAGTGGTTGAGTGTCGACCTATGAACCAGTCAGTTTGATTCCCAGTCAGGGCACATGCCCAGGTGATGGGCTCAATCCGCAGTGTGAGGCATGCAGGAGGCAGCGATCAACGATTCTCTCATCATTGATGTTTCTCTCTCTCTCTGAGATAAAAGAAAATATTGTCACCTTATACCTCTTCCTGTGCTTCTCACCCCACATTATACTTCAGATTGGTAAGATATTTGAACATTCTGCTCTACCATTATAAATATGCGAATATCGAACAGGTATCTTTTTATATTACTTTTCAATAAACTGGATAAAATCAATGTTTTTAGGGGAATTTCCCTCAGCCAGCCTTTCCCAGAGCATGCTGGGAGGGGTGGAGGTCGAGGGCCAGATAAGCAGAGTTTGAACCAGAGAAATGCTCCAAGCAACCAGCAAGCTCTTTCCAATGACTGCTGGCCGCGGGAAGGGGAAAGGGCTGAGAGGGGGTTCCACCCAGGAACCCCCCTTCCTGAGTCCTAACTTCGCTGCATTGGCTCCAGAGGGGCCCTGTGCCAGGGCCGTGCTGCTCGCTTCACTGCTCACCCAGGCCCCCAGGCACCTCGGTCCTCTCTCAACGTGGCCTGCTTCCTCTCGCCAGGGCAGGAGGAGGTGGCTGGCGGCCCTTCCATCTTTACTCTGTGGCACTGGCTATCTAGGAAAAGCACGGGTCAGGAGAAGGGGTGTTCCCATTGCCAGGGAGGCAGGGAGGCAGGACGGGCCCAGCCTTGGCCAGCCAAGGCCCGCGGCCCCCACGCATCTCCTGGCACACTCAAGTACCCCCGACTCCAGACCCCGTCAGGACCAGGCCTCATGGCAGGGGGAGGGTGGCAGGTGCTCAGGCTAGGACGGGAAGGTTTTAGGTTCATAGGTTTTAAGGAGTAAGGCTTCCAACCATAAAATATAAGTTAAATGTGACACAGGATATTAACTAGTAACTAAGCATGATGTTTGTGTGTGGAAAGCTGGCTACAAAACTGTACATGGGACCGGACTGCAATGGTGTGAAAAGAGAGCAAGTGTGCTGGCCTCGGGGAGGACTGTGGGTGGCTCCCCCACTCCTACTTGACATTGTAAAGTGCATGGATGTAACTAACGGTAAATCCCCTTTCCTCTTAAAGAGTGAAGGATAAATGTAATCGCTCTTCCCACTTTGCTGCTGTCGCTTCCAGCCCCATCTGGGTGATGTAAACGCACAGAGCTGACAATTTCTGTCAGCGACACATGACCGCACTGTATGTATTTTGGCAACGTGCTCTTTTCACTTAATGCCGACTTACATTTTCCACCGGAGTAACACACTGGCCCCTTTTTCATGACTGCGCGGCGTTTCACTGTGCGCGGAACAACCTCACCCCTCCCCGCAGGCGACAGCCTTTGTTTCCAAACTGTTCGGCTTCCTACATGTCTCTGTGGGCTCCCTGTGGTATTTCTGCGGGGTTGCTTCTCAGAAGTGGAATCTCTGAGTCAAAGAACATGTGAGGTTTTGCCAAACAGCTCTCTTTTGTGCCAACACACAACCCTATGGAAATCTGCGTCGTCCTTTACCAAAATTTAGTCTCATCAACCTTTTAATTTGGCCCATCTGACAGATTAAAAAAAGGTTTTAATTATGAAATTTTCTTTTTCATATACTTTTTGGCTCTTTGTGTTTCTGTTGTGAATGACCTGTTCTTATTCATCCACGTTTCCCTCGGAAACGATAACGTAGAGATGACAGCCCTTTATATAGTACAGAGATCAACCCTGTGTCTGTGTTACATGTATTGTAGGTATTTTCTCCCATTCCAACAAGTTTTTGCCAGGGTGCTAAGTGGTTGGGTGCTGACCTATGAACCAGGAGGTCATGGTTCGATTCCTGGTCAGGGCACATGCCTGGGTTGTAGGCTCGATCTCCAGTGGCAAGGGGGAGGGGGAGATGTGAAGGAGGCAGCCGATGGATGATTCTCTCATTATTGATGTTTCGACCTCTCTTTCCTTCTCCCTTCCTCTCTGAAATGAATAAAAATATATTTGTAAAGACAGTTTATAGTTAAATCTGCATCAATAGCTTTTGACTTTATTTCATTCTTAGGAAGGTTTTCTTCACTCCAAGATTATAAAATGATTCCCTGTGTTTTTCTACTATATTTACTTTTATTTTTAGAAACCTAAAAAATTCAAAAAAAGTAGAAAGTATAGTACAATAAACACCGCTATTCCTATCACAGGGTATGTTAACATATTGTCATTTTTGCAACAACATTTCGTTTTAAAGAAATAAAACCACCATGGATAGAGTAAATTTTTCTTCAATGCTGCCTTCTAAGTTTTATTCCCCCAGGAAACCCCTCCTATGAATGTGGTGTGTGCCCTTCCTGTCATATGTAGGTGAGCTGCGGGCCCCTCACTAACGTACTGTTAAGTCAGGAATGAGGGAGGGCTCTTCTTGTCCCTGGATGAAGCAAATGCTCCGATACCATTTGTTAAACAGCGCACCCTCCTCCGGTGGCTTGGAATGCCAGCGTTACCATCAGTTTAGCACATGGAGCAACGCTTCCCAGTGTGCTTTTCTACTGGGAAAAATAGATACGAAAACCATTCTGGAGTAAAAATAGACTTTGTCTCAGTGATGACAGCACTGCTTTTCTCCTCCCCAGAAGATGATTTCTACCTTAAAGCAAAGTTCACACTAACGGGTACAGCTCACTGAAGAAACACCAGCATCAGAAGCTTATGTTGAGGACAATGACCGAGGAAGGCACAGAGGAAGAAAAGGTCGTCGTGGGCAGGGTGCTCCAAGAGGGCTTCCAGGCGGAGGTGGCTTATGTTGGCCTGGGAAGGGAGAGTAATTTAGCAAAGCAGAAATCAGGCAGACGGGAAAGCAACAGGCAAGAGAGAGGCGGGCTTGTGGAAAGCATGCTGGGGGACACTGAGGACAGAGCCTCGCGGGGAGCTGCAGCTTTGGGGTGGGCTGTGGGAGGTCAGGCTGGAAAGGCAAACGGAGCACAGACCCATGGCTCAGCCACCTGTAAACAGGGCCACAGCCTACTTCTGCGGTGCAGATCGAGTGCTAACGGACAGTCAGTGTCTGGCACACAGCAGAAGTGCAGTGAATGTCATATTAAAAATAATATATCCGAAAAAATATCAGGATGGCTCTCAATTTTATTCTTTTTGCAAAGACTGTGAGAAAAACAACCCCATTTCTCAGTGTTCGATTATTCTTGCCGTATGCAGAGAATGGTTACTGTCAGACTGGGGTGTGTGTACACAGGGGTCTGACAGCTGAGATAACTTCCCCACGAGGTGATGGGTCCGAAGAGAAGCTACCAAAAGCCCAAGGTAGGGGCCATTTACCAGCATGTCACTGGGTGTGACAACCCAGCCCAGCCACCCAGCAGAACAGGCAAGTCCATCGGGCCTGGGCCTGCCTGGGAGCCGAGGGGAATGCACCTCCTCAGGGATCCAAGATCATTTCATCAGCTCAAAGAGAACATTTGCATTTAAGGCACAGTAGTTTCTAAAGCTGCTGGAGACGAAGGAGACCCACCTTCCTACCCAGGAGTTAGAAGGCCCCCTGGTGGCGACTGGCAGGGACTGGGAGGAAGGAAGGGCTTGGGTGTGACCTGAGTGTGGATCCCCCTTGGGAAGAAAGTTCCTGAACCACCGGGCAGGTGGGGCTCAGTGGTTGAGGGTCCACCTATGAACCAGGAGGTCCTGGTTCGATTCCCAGTCAGGACACATGCCCAGGTTGCGGGCTCAATCCCCAGTGTGGGGTGTGCAGAAAGCAGTAGATCAATGGTTCTTTCTCATCACTGATGTTTCTCTCTCTCTCTCTCTCTCCCCTTTCCTCTCTGAAATCAATAAAAATATATTTAAAAAAATAAAGTTCCTGAACTTTCTAGGCCCTCCTTTCCTCACCTGTGAGATAATAATATCGATCTTGCCAGCTTCTTGGGGTTTAATACGATGAAGAAAGCACTTGCCATGAAGAATATTTTTATTATTCAAAGAGCCGTAAGTAACATCAGAATAGAACACTACTTCTCATTGAGTTAGTGCTGAACTGTACCAAGTGCCTGCCTCGTAACTCTCACAACCTGCATTTTTTTTTAATTTTTTTATATTTTTTAAACATAGGGCAGGGCAAACTTTTTTTTTTAATATATATTTTATTGATTTTGTACAGAGAGGAAGGGAGAGGGATAGAGAGCCAGAAACATCAATGAGAGGGAAACATCGACCAGCTGCCTCCTGCACACCCCCTACTGGGGATGTGCCCGCAACCAAGGTACATGCCCTTGACCGGAATCGAACCTGGGACCCTTGAGTCCGCAGGCCAAAGCTCTATGCGCTGAGCCAAACCAGCTAGGGCAACACAACCTGCATTTTAGAGGCACATCAGGCTCACAGAGGGTGAGCTGCAGGTCCCTCACCCAGCCCAGTCCAGGACCCCAGTGGCCAGGCTGGAACCTGGGTGAGGGCTCAGCTTTTGCCACCGGCAATGTCAGTTGTTCAGTCAGTCACCCGCACTTTGCAAACCTCCTTTCTTCGTTTTTAAGTTTACAACCTCCCCATGTGCCGGCCTATCTCACTTACATTAAGAAACATTAAAGAAAGGGGGAACGTTTCTTTACTATTAGGGAAGATGTGGGGTGGAGATGGGTTCCTATGCTCGGGGCACTGGGGGAGCACTCAAACTGAGTGAAGGGTGCTCACCCCAACCCAGAGCTTCTCCTCAGATGTTCTTACTCTCGGAGGAAACCTCCTGAGGGCAGATCTAGACGGCGCCTCCACTGCCCACAGGACCAGCAGGTCCGCGTGGGGAAGCACAGCGGCCCAGGCTCTGCAAACGTCCTGGGGTTTGAGGGCTGATCTGAAAGCACACGCGTGTACTGCGTCGCCCGGGAGGACCCGGGCAGCCCCCGGGCCGGACACGCGAAAGCTTCTGAATGTTGACATCAGCATGAGAAAAACAAATGGTAGACGGCCCCACTTCAGTCAGGTTAGGCTCTGCCACAGAATGAGTTTGGTGCAGGCTGATGTACATGCTCGCCTCTCTGTTTCTGTTTCAGGATCGTTGGTAGGGAGTATGGATATGCTGACAACAGGCAGAACAGCGGTGAGTATCTACCGGGGGCTTGCCATGTGTCTGCTTCACAGAGTCTTAGCGCTCGCCCCAGCACGGGGTGCTGGGCACAGGCACCATCAGTGTGTTTCTGTAACAATTCCGTACCTGTCCCAGGACAGCGCCCTGGCCGGGCTGCCTGGGTCAATCACTGCTGCACTATTTTGGCAAATTACTTCTCTGTTAGTACCTACACGGATGTTGTGAGGATTAAACGAGTTACTTTGTGAGAAGTGCCTGCACATAGCAAGGGTTATGATTTAATTTTGCACGTGGGTAAACGGAGTTTGGTACCTTGCCCAAGAAGTTCCAGCCTTTAAGAGTGCGGCTGGGATTTGAACCCAGGCACCCAGCTCTAAAGCCGACCCTCTATGCTGCCTTTTGCACTTCAGACAAACCACCACTCGAGAGACAAAGGAGCTACTAATCTAGAAAGCTGTGACCCTGAGTGTTGGGCTCCTCAGACAGTGGCAGTTCAGTATGGTAATGGCGCAGGAGACAGCCAATGCCAACTTGGTCATCTACGCCCTAGGTCCCAGGACGCTCCGTGGCTCATGAGCTGTCCCGCGGGCACACTCACCACCAGGCCCCCGGCGGGCGGCAGCGTGCAG